TCAAAACAAACCAGAATCAGAAGGGCAAGACAGACAACTTTGTTGCTCTCAAACCAGTTTGGAAATCTTCTTCATTCAAACATAAACAACAGAATCCGGATCTTCTGTATGGGTCAGAAGGCGTTTCTAACAGGTTGCTCGAGACTTTTACCAACAGCTGACGTCACTGACTCCATACGGAAGATCAGGTGGTCAGCCAGAAACAATTAGCAACAGGAATCTCTGGGAACGAACTAATCGAATGACTATTGCTCAACAAATATTTAGCGAAAAACGGAGATGGATCGGATACACTCTGAGGAGACCGTTATGTAACACCGCGTGCCAGGCCATCACTCGAGTGGAAGTCGAATGGAAAACGATTAGTTGGGCTGGGTCTGAGAGTGACATGGAGAAGACGAGAGACTATGGTCAATCGTGGGGCTGCAGGCAAGAAGACGCAATGGAGATGGGCTGTTGAAGCTCTATGTTCCACTAGGGACCTACGGTTGATGTGCCTTCTCGCTAGTGTAGAACGTTGAGGTCTACGGAGGACCAGCTAACACGCATCTCAATCAAACCAGATCACGAAAACCTACAAAGTCAACAGATGGTCTACCTCTTGATTGACGGTTTGTTGATTTTACCTCCTTTACGTAGTAGTCTGTTAAATAGCATCGGTATCGTTCACATGATGATTCCGTTATAGAGGATCAAAATAAGTGAGTCAACGGAGAAACTACTTCCAGCGAATTTACTACCAAGTGGTACAACAATATAACTGACAATCTTGGTTGTGAACGCCATTATGACCATCTTAAAATTTTATATTATGGAGGATTACTCACACTACCACTACAAACTCCACATTAGACCTGACAATAAAAAACAAAACAACAACCCTGAAATGTTATTTTATGATTGTTTAGAGTTATTTCAACCAAATAAACTGACCATCTTGGTGATAAACATTCTTAAATATCATTTCATAACTTCTTGTATGACTATAGCTTTACTGTTACCATGCATAATCATATCATACCTTCCACTACCCAATACTGAGTTATTATTATATGCTGTTTATTTTCCTTTCTACTTCTTGGTATTTTTTCGCATTTATAATTATTTTTGTGTTTATCCTGTTTTTTTGCTGTTGGTGTCTTAAGATTAATTTTTTTGTCAAATACTCCTTTTAAATGTTTGTAACATTAGATGCAAATATTGTAGATATTGTGCTGAAAATTCCACACTGTACCACTAGTACTATTTCTGGAATAAAGCAAATTATTATATAAACTGAATAAATCATACGCCGTGAGGAAACTTAAACAAACGTGTGAATACTCATTGGTGATTGCGCTAAATGTGTATCACGAATTGGCAGAAGTTGGAATTTGTGCGCCATTGCATCAGGTCCCAGTGGCTTGATTGTCTACTAGCTCACCATGTACCTGGAAGGTCCTGGGTTCGACCCCTAGTGGTGGATGAGTACTGCTGGAGAGTCTGAAACTAGGACAAAACAGATGTCCAGTACTCCCTGCAGGTTTTTCAATGGTCCTCTATAACCAATGTCGTCTCATGATAAAATCCCGTAACCAACCAATCAAATCCCTGCAAACCAACAATTGAATAAATAGAATAGTTCATAGAATGTATAGATGGTTGGAAGGGAGGGTATAAAATCATAGAATTAGCACGTAAATAAATATAAAAAAAGCATTACGTTACATGATATGAAATCTGATAAGATAGAATTTAACATGGTAAAATATTTTTGATTCAGAATGACAAATGGGACAAGTGAAATAATACCGGAAACAGTTCACATTGAGGATAACAACAACAGTAATAATAATAATAATAATCGTAGTAGTGAGGGAAAGGTATGTAGACCAACTAAATAAACAAAATGAAAAATAAGTCAATAAATATTTATCCCTCTACGGCTAAGGTTAAATATCAAGACTGTACACACTTCTTTGGTTCACAGAGGTCTCGCCTGAATTCATGAGTGACCAAGGTCTCCTCTGTCTTTTATACGTTTGTTTATAACGAAGAAAACGCATCAAGTTAGAGCATGAATTCAACAAATGATCTGAAAATCATTTTCTGGATTGCTATAGTGACATAAGTCCATGAAGTGTTCTAGAATGGGGTTTCGCACATCCTTCCCTTCTTCCCTGTAAAGCCATGGTGGAATATATTCTCGTAACTGTGTGGAAAGCATTCTCTAGCTACGGCTAAGAGCGGGTGAATTGATAGATGCACATAGGGGCGCGGCCAGACGAGAGAGAGAGCTTATCTATTATAGAGACAGAGAACAACTTATACTTGGTGAAAGTTATTTGTAGTTTTTCAGCAAAGAACACCTTAATGACTGATTTAGACAGACGATTTTTGAGTTTATCTGAGGCTTGATCACCTTTGAATTTCAAATTCATGAAGATGGTTTTCTTTGGAACTGAGTCAGTGACTAGTTTGAACTGCTTATCTTCCCTGTTTCTGTCAATAAATCGGTTCGGATAAGCGTTTTCTGCGAGCGTAACTTTTATGAAGGCAAGTTCTGAGTCAATACAATCACAATTACAAATGTTTCTTATCCTAAAACAGAGCGAATGACTTAAGTTCGTTTTACTGGAGAGTAAGTTGCTCATTCCATGTAATTTTCCCGTGGACTGATATTTTGAGGGAGGTCTCAAGATTTTTCATGCGACTTCTCCTTTTTGAACAAGTGGCAATATATGGTTATTGTTTCGGCCTTTTGTGTGTGTGTGTATGTTCCCGGTATTCACATTAAGAACTTGTTGAGTGAGTTGAGATAATCAAATTCTGTTGATTTTTGGTTACAGGATTTCATCATGAGTTGACATTGGTTGTAAAAATAAAATAAGTAATGATTGTAGCAATAGTAATAACAATAATAATATCAATGACAACACAAACAATAAGGAATCTAAATCATCAGTAGTAATTCTATACAATGGAGGAACCTCGGAAACCACATTACGCAGAATTCTTAACAAGGCAGGAATAAAAGTGGCTGGCATTCAATCACCCACAAACTCAATCAGAAAAAGGCTTTTTCGGTTAAAGGATCCTGACAGTGGAGCCTTTAAAACAAAACAATTTAGTTTATCTAATATCCTCCCTGCAATAATTGTCAGGTCAAATACATAGGTCAAACAGGGGCAGTCAGACTAGCCGAACATAAAAACCTAGCAAAATCTAGATTGGTTGACCCAAATGAGATAAGAAATCTAGAGAATAGTTCAGCTATACCACTCACTACATGCAATTACACACAACCATACAATAGGTGATGCGATAAGATGACAGTTTTAAAATCTAATGTCACAGGGTGGAGGGAGAGAGAGATTGATAAAAGAAGCTTTGTTTATCGAATCAACTGCAAATACGTGTAATAGTGTAACAACAGAATACAAAGGCCAAGCAACAGATCGTTTATTAAGGAAATCAAAGCATATTTATATATTTCCATGTACATTATTATAGAGTAGTTAAGTAAACAAACACAGTCTTCTGATTGGTTGTTTCTCACTTTGTGACTGTTTCTTGAATGTGAGATCATCTATATGTTAGCTGTATCCGCCTACGCAAAGTCTTATGTGGTCGGTTTTGAATTAGTTTTTGTTCATATTTTCTCACGACCAATAGTGAGAACGTAAACATTGACGTAAATTACTGTCTACCAATTTGGCTAGTAGACAGCTCTCACCACAATAGGAATGATTCAACACCTGTCCAGGCAGATATCTGGAAAATTCTACTACCCCAACGATGACAAATAGGAGAGAAGAAAGAAAACTATAAAACTCAAGTTTCGAAGTCTTGTGATTGCAATTGATATGATTATGAACAGTAATAAATTGTGTTCGAAACCGTCATCCAGTAAACAATACTGTTTCTTCACTGTGTGATACATCTAATAAACAAACTAATATGGAGTTACTTACTACCACAGTGCCCAAGTTTTACACATATATTGGTTAGACAACCATTGAAAGATCTGGTAGTACTGGACGGATGTTTCGTCCTAGGTTGGGACTCTTCATCAGTATGTACCCCCACTTTCTGGTTACAATTCGAGCTCGTAGAGCATTCAGCTACTGGAATCCGATCCATTGGTCCGTGCACTCCAAATTCTGCAAATCCACAGTGTAGTGCAACCACTAGCCAATGTCATCGGCGACAAGTATCCAAAGCCTCAGGATGGTCGGGGGTGGGTGCCTTGCGCTGCGGGTTGGCCACCCCTCCGCACACCTCTTAAAATGCTCCCATATGACCGGGCGTCTTACATAGCCCCTCCTGAGGAAGTCCTACTCACTGCCTTCACGTGGCGGAGGTGTTTTTCACCAAAGTGAGAGGGCGAAAGCGGATGCCCGGCGCTCTTCACCGGGTTGACTGTCCATTGGGTGACGGTCTAGGGGAGATGGCTAAACCCTGATTCCAAACCACCAACGACTGGCGTATGAAGCTCACTGGAGCTCACCGGGAGACGTATGGACAAAGGGCTTGTTGGATGTCCTGGATGTCTGGCCCCATTCAACAAGGCGTATGAACCGAACTCCGGTCACCGGCTGCCAATGGATAGTGGACTCCCTACTCCACTCCTACTGCCTTGTAGGTCACACTTGGTTGTGTAAAGGCTAGAGCTGCACTCTCGAACAAAAGGCCGAGCGATTGTGGGGACATCACTCGTACCAAATTCCCATGAAACTTCATGAACTCTCTTACAAACGATCGCCGCTCCTGGGCAGCGATGATTCGAGATGTTGATGAAGCCGGCTCATCCTCCCGTAGGAGGTAGCCGAAGTAAAGTAAGCGACAAGTATCCGTCCTCACACCCGACCCCACTGGTCACGACTTCTCACTAGAAACCCAAGTAACTACCTACCTGAATTGGGACCAGTCACTTGTGAGCATCTCATTGATATTCAAGTGTTGGTTTGTATGGATTTGATTTGATGATTTCGTCTTATTTTTCCCTCTTTGAATTTCAGATTACTGCACATATGATCACAATATTTCAGACCTAATGAAAAATCCTCTCACACAACTGAGGTCGTCTGAAGCTGACATGTCCATGAAGTTGAACAATTTCGATAAAAGTGCAATAGGAACAGAAGATTTCGACGATACAACTACCACGGATTCAGGTATTGCTGCAGTCCATCATGATAGTCTTTCGTTTGGTGAAATACACAATGATAATAATAATAATAATCACAATGACAATAACAATAATAATATTAGTGATGCTGGTGGTAATCACGAGACTGAATCCAATGTAAACAAGTTGGCTGCAAATTTAGCGTCAACAGCAACTATTGATCGGGGTTCAGCATTTCGTAAACCTCCGTATTCCTATGCTCAACTGATTATACAAGCTATTGCATCATCACCAAATCAGCGGTTAACTTTAGCTGATATCTATGCTCATATTTCACGAACATTTCCTTATTATAAACCTCATGAAAAAGGTTGGCAGGTAGGTGGCAATTGTTTTTGTTTTTCTTCTTCTGAAAATATTTAAATTTCTGTTTGTATTCACTTTTGAATAGATGGGGAGTGAAGGGGTAAAGCGTGTTGACCACTTCACTTATTTAGGGGGAGAAGTTGCATCTGCTCTAGAGGATTGATCGCTGACGAAATCTCAGCACAGATACAGAAGGCTCGTTTGGCATCTACGCTATCCTTAGTGTAGATGTGATATCCGACTGGCTATTGACCAGAAGGCGTGTGTACTGTTCATCAGTTCACTCTGTCCCCCTTTATGGCTGGCTGTGAAACATACCCATCGAAAGTGGAACACATGAAAAACCTAGCTAGCTGTCCTTGATCATAGGTGGCCGGCTGCGTTGTATCTCCTGTGTGAAGTGGTATAAAAAGGTGGGCAATATTGGGGTTAGGCATCGGTCGAGTGCTCGGTAAGGAGGGGAAATCAATTGACGACGAGGTTGTGAAGTTACACCGATTCAGATGGTTATTGCATGTGTCACTTATGCCTAACCATCTCCTTCCTCGACAATGGGCAATGTTAGCTGACATAGCATGGATGAAGTTGGAAAAGAGAAGGCTAGTGATGGTCAAACGAAAACATAACTTCATCAGTCGATGAAATCTATAACAGTTAGTTTAAGCCAGCCAGTCAGCCACGCACGGAGGTGTAGGCAACGTGACTGGTCCTGGGGTCCTCGGGATTCTGAGAATCAATAGCTGGAGACAATTACTGGAGATGGTATGGCTCGAAATCGTCGTTCCCAATGGCTGGTGCAGATGGACTCACTCTTTGTGATTTATCATATCCAATAAAATTTTATTTCTTTTCCATGTTACTACTCTCACTACCCTCACTCACACTTCCATTTATTATCTCCCTCTTTTGAATCTTTCTTTACTTACTGTCTTCTCTCTTCTCTTGCCTTTGTGTGCTGAATGGATTGTGGTAACTCGAACTGGTGCACACCAGTGCAAATTTCCATGTTGAAACCAGTCACTCAGTCATTTCGAATAGATACAGATTTCTTAGACATTCATGTTTATTTCAGTATTAATAGTTATATGCCAATCTTCAGTAAACACCTGTGGACTCAGGTTTAATGGTAGTTGATAAGTAGTTCCATCATTTACTTCCGAATTCAAAGACTTCATTGATCAACTATTCGACTGATTCATATATAAAAGAAAAGATGTTCAGCGAGGAGTTACTGTTTTCAGAGATATCATTCTTAAACTGTACAATCGCACCTATATGGTAAAATTATCTTAGCGACAATGGGAACATTTTCTAGGATTTGTCTTTATAATTTTAAATGAAAGAGGCATTGAACCCTCTGATAAGAATTCTGCTTGAAAAGGGCTACCTCGAACATTTCATCACATCATATCCATGATGCCTAAACCACTAAAACCGCCCACACTTTCTGCTCCTAAAAAACTTCTCTATCTGAATCTACAATTCAATGGAAATTCATTGACAGAGATGCTGAGGAACCGCCTGTTCCGCTCACTGAAGAAAGCCTTCTTTGCGGCTGAATTCCGACTAACCTTATCTACAAAACCAATGATTCATTTTGAGCGCAAAGGATAAGCTAGCTACCACTGCTGGCCTCATCAATGTTTATCTTATATTTCACCTGCTCGTGTGGAGCTAGGTATTTCTGTTGTACTCAGTGTTCGCTATCCAAACGTATTACTGAATGTTTACCCTCATGATTTTATAAAGGAGAAAAATGACCCCCATGCCCCCCTCTGCAGCTCTATCATGGAACACGTGATTGAATCTCGAAACCAAGCTAACCCGCAGAGCAATTTCAAAGTTATCTACAGAATACGTGGGAATTTTGCAAAATGATTGTGAATCAAATTTCTTCAATTCGAAAAAGCAATGGTTATGCACATTGTGAAATTTCGAACTTTGCATACAAAAGAAGTTTGTCCAGTCATTAAATCTACAGTGAACCTGATATATCTTAACACTAAATACGATAACAAGTTAGAAAAGCACTACTTAAACCTAAGGTAATAAAATCATAAGAAAGGTCATGAAATCATAAAAAGTCGAAAATGAACGTTTATCAATGAAACAAAAGGAATAGAAGAAGAAGAAAAGAAAATTGTGATTAGAATTTAAAGTGCTAATGTTTATAGAGGATTTGTTGGCCTTATTGTAGGCCAAGGTAACCATAGCGGTTGAACAGATTTCTTCTGTATACAAACAGTCGGTCTTCTTGTATTGATTGCAACCGCTTCAGCTACTGATAGAAGACGTAGTTGAGCTCCTCTAGATACGTAATTTTTCTGTTTCTTAGTTTCATTATTTTCTCCCCCCACCCCCGGCACACTCCCTTTCAAATTTCTACCCCTTATTACCACTGTTGTTAACTTAATTGTCGTTCTGTTTCAGTTGAATGCTACTCAGTCCTATCACAATTATATCACGTCATTCAATTTACTTGTTTTATTTTTAAAACAATTAGTTCCCTCTATGAATTTAGATCAAGCAATAAGAAGACGTAATTTGTCTGAATCCTGTGTGTAATGTATTTGCGCAACACATGTTGAACAATCTGATCCATCAGACACGGACTTGTCATAGGAATATATAATATGAAATTAATAAAGAGGCAAGAGGTGAGAAAATAGACAAGTTAGGTCAAGTTTAAAGGACATATTCAAGGTCAAAGTAACAATGAAGACCATTAAACCAAATAACAGAGGTAATAGTGTTACAACAGAAGACAAGGGCAAGGCAACAGATCGTTTATTAAGGAAATCAAAGCATATTTACATATTTCCATGTACATTGTTATAGATTACTTAAGTAAACAAACACAGTCTTCTGATTGGTTGTTTCTCACTTAAAGTTAATCTTTCTTCTCTTTGTGACTGTTTCTTGAATGTCAGATCATCTATATGTTAACTGTATCCGCCTACGCAAAGTCTGCTGTGATTGGTTTTGAAGCAGTCTTTGTTCATATTTTCTCACGACAAATCTTGAGAACGTAAACATTGAGGTAAATTACTGTCTACCAATTTGGCTAGTAGACAGCTCTCACCACAATAGTACATCTGCTATGGTATCAAAATAAAATTTACCAAGGAAGGTTTAATGTGATGACGAATTGTTTTTGAACGCATAAAGGTGGCTTAAACTTTCTAATTGTTAGGGCTTCCACAAACTTTAGGATACGCCCCAAACACGTTTTATAGATAGGTTTAAAAGATCTGTTAATGTCAATTTTATGTCCTGTCTCTATAATATGTTTCGCAATAGAAGAGCTACGTCTCCTGTTCTCATCGTTAATAGGTTCTGGAGATTCCATTTGTTTCTGGAGCCATTTAGGAATATGCTCTGAAGCCCTTAGAGATCGGTGAGTCCTCCCTATGTATGTGTGCCCACACGTACATTCAAACTGGTAAATACAGTGGAATGTGACATCATTTTTCGCATGTTCGAAGGGCTTAGATAGATATATTGGCTTCACATTCTCTATTATTATGATATTAGCTGCATAAAAAGTCTTTTTGACAGCAGCGTTCATTCTTTGTCTAGTTGTCAAGCTGCTTTGATGCCCCATATAGGGTAGCTTGATGTACACGTCTTTCTTAGGGGCGAGTTGGAGAGTGGGTCTTGGTGTTCTGACTGCTTTATATCTCCTGATGAACTTGTCTGGATAATTGTCATCAACCAGAGTTTGTGTCAACTTTCTTTCTTCCTCATCAAGTGTGTCTTCAGTGCATATTCGTTGTTTTATTTTAGTTTCTACCCGATTAACGCCCTTTGTATTACGTAATCTGTTGTCTAAAATTTACAATTCTAATGTCACATCTTTGGAAGTATTCCTTTTCTTGGCTAAGAATAATTTACTATATATGTATGTGATTGTACAGCTTGAGAATGATACCTCTGAAGAAGAGAGTAACTCTTCTCTGGACGTCTTTTCTCCTATATTCGAACGTTTTACACGAACTAGTCTGTGCACGGTAGTAAACGTAAGCGTATGTGTTGACTCCAAAGCCTGTAGGTTAACATCAATAGGCAAACGATACCATATGTAGTCTCAAAGCTAAATAACATAATATCCTGGTGTGTAGACTGTACTTCAACTCCTTGTTTTGATGTTTACTTCCTGGATATATTATGACAGTTAACATAGAATTTGTATTTCTTTGCGAAGAGCTACATTGATTGAGATGGCTAGGAGACTAGGTGTCAAGTATGCCAAGCCACCGCCTTCCTTTACGGGGCATGGTTAACTGATATCGGATTAGGTAATGAAAGCAGAATCTGGCATCAATCCATGAAGTCTCTGACTGCTGCTTTGAGTCACATATGGTGGGGGGGGAGGTACATATTCTTTTGTTGGGTGAGGCGGAGGGTCCACGAAGTGCTGAGAAACAGTGACTAGATGCTCAATGACAAAGATGTATGCAGTTCGTGTATGCTCTCAGATCCATAAAGTGCTCATATTTCTTCATGTAATTATTCTTTCTCCCATGAGTTTCTATGCTCATTATAGTTCTTTTGAATTTTTGTTTCCTTTTGTTTATCTTTATGGTGTGTGCTGCATGCAGTGTGGCGACTTGAACTTCTACGTTGAAACTCAGTCAGTCAGTTATTTTAGATTTATAAAACACAAAATAATTGAGCACAGAATATCCTTTTCGATAATTTCCTCTTCTGGCTCTACAATCATATATGCATGTTTATATACATGGAATATTCTAGAATTGTAGTCAATAACAACATTGGTGTTTTTTTCAAATAATATCGATTTGTTAAGTAAGATCAATGCAATTACAGTTCATTAAAGATGCTTAAATTATAATAAGCATAAGAATGTAGTAGCAAATAGAATATCAAATAAAATTGGGAGAATTTCATAGAAATTCAGGATCATTCAAACCTAGATGGCCAAGGTAAGGATAATGTCTGAACTAACTTCTTTTGGATGCACAAATTAGGCTTGTTAATGGGGATCCCAA